ATAAACTTTTGTAAATGGCTCCGATTTTGGGAAATGGATAGGACAAAGGACTTTTCAAAATCCACTAGTAAAACACAGAAAAAGTGTACTTGTAGGCTGTGAAGATTTTTCTACTTAATACAAGGTTCAAAAGTCATTCAAGGCAGAGTGTTACTGAATAAGGATGAGGCAAGAAGTACAGACTAATAGATATGTAAGGAAGATAACTTTTTTACCACAGACCTGAAGAGATTAAGATTTTAATGATCGAGGAAGCATCCTCTCGGGAGTCTGTTCCGCAAAGTGGAGTTTATGCTGAAGAAGGGCATTATTCTCAGTCTACATGGCGGTAATGGACTAAACTGGCAGACCTAAGAAATTTAGGCGGTCAGATTTCCCATGTAAATAACGATATAGTAGAGTGAGGCTTCCGACTTTTCGTCTGTGGAGAAAGGGGCTGTAGAGTAGAAAATAACCACTCACAAGGCTGTGTAGACACGTCTGAACTCTATCAAGGTTAAAAAGCGAAAACTAGACATTTTCAAACCAGATATGGCAGCAATAATCTATTTTCGGTTTGATATGACTCTTGTAAAAGACCATAGCAAGAATCAAGGACTTTCTGGAATGGTACAAGGGACTGACCATTTTTCCAAAATCTTTAACGATGGATTCCACATTTTTCTTTTTTTTCAATCATTTCACCCCAAACAAGGCAATAAAGCCACTAGGACGCAAGCGGTTAGTGAGTGTTAGACATAAGGATAAAAACTACTAAGAACCGAGAACAATAAAAGAAAAGGAATTAAGAAGACAGAAGATAACGATTGACATTGCATTTAAATTCTTGAAGATCAAAGTTAACTGGAAAGCAAGAAGCAAAATCCTGAAGTGTGATAGAAGAAACTGTTAGCATAGAACTTACGGTTGCATCTAGCCATTTCAACTATAAAATGATGAGACCTAGTATTGTGCTTAAATTGATAAGGTCTAGGTACCATAGAGCAAAGTTCATTGATGGTTAATCCATAGGGAGAAGTACGGTAGAAGAAACTGTCGGCATAGAACTTACGGTTACATCTAGCCATTTCAGACTTGAGGTATGGGGTGAACTTGAGTCTCAACAGATGTCCAAAAAAAGAATCCTCTTTCAGAGTACTAGCGTTTGTCATGATTGAAGAAAATTCAAGGGTTACTTGTTGATGATGTAACTTTACTAGGTTGGTTTGGGAGGTATTGAATGTTACAACCCAGTTTTCTCCCATTGAGCTGTTAAAGCTAAGTCAGAGCAGAGATCAGCTAGTAAAACCTGGTCATCTAGAATTATGGAGGTTCACGCATACACTGTTGCATCATCTACATATATATTTACTAAAGATCTAAGTATGTTTTAGGCAGTACTCTAATATAGAGCATCAAGAGCGTAGGACTGAGAAGAGAGCCTTGGGGCCCGCCTGTATTAATCACACGTGCTTCAGAAGATTAGCCATTAACAAAGATCCTTTATGGATCTATCTAACAAGAAGGACTTTATGAAAGAGAAAACTCTTTCAGAGATCCCACGATGGGAGAATTTGTGTAGCAACAACCATGCCATATGGGATACATTGTGATTAATTTATTTTTTAGTGTCTCACTGATTCTGTGAGTAATGAGAGGATATCAGCAGTGGGCAAAAATAAAGATGAGATAAAAAACCATATAATCAGCGAATGTAGCTAGTTGTCTCCTAATGAATAGAAGAAGAGGCAAAACTTGGAGAGTAAGGTGAGCCCTTGGTGATTGCGCAGGTGTCTACATTTGGACCATATATATCGGCTGGATATAGATGAGATAGAAAACCATAGAGTTAGCGGTCCTTCCTGACAAACCGAACGAATAAAAAAATATTATTCTACCCACTGACTCTATCACAACTTCAACTGAAAAAAATTCATCTAAAGCGAACGTAAACTACACTATTCACATTATTCGGACTATTGTCCTCATCTTTATTGCCATCTTTGTCACGACGTTTCCTTAAGGACACATGGCACAGTAGATAAATTCGTTAGTTAGATCCAGTGACAGGACACAAAGAGATGTGAGTGAAATAAGGCAGGGGAGAACTTGGAGAGGTGAATTAACAGGAGATAAATGATAACTGACATCCATTAAACATGGCACGTGGAATTAGAACATTCTACCCCAAGTGAACAAAATAAAGGTTTCAGCTCGACATTCCTAACACCTGAAGAAGGCCGGAGCGTACAACGGCCGAAACGTTATAATAAATATGGCAACAAAGATGAGAACAATAGTCCAAATAATATAAATAGTATTCCAAATTTAGTTCTGAACACAGTCTCCTTCCTTCTGACTCATGATAGCTGGAGGGTCACTCAAAGATTAATGCCTGTTTTTTTTAATTACAACAGATTTAATAAACATGTCAGAGAGAATGTTGTATTCATATGCTAATCTCCAGCATATAAATAGCAGTTGATACAGCTGAAGGCTAAACTAATCCTAACCTTGAAGACGAAACTACTAGAGAAATAGTAGTGAATAAAATGTTGTAAATTATAATTAGTTAAAAGTATTCACTACTATTTCTCTAGTAGTTTAGTCTTCAAGGTTAAGAGTAGAAGTATATACCAGGGTGCCCACGTCGCAACTGGATGTGACACGAGGTCGAGGTTACATGTGGATCTGTCGTCCACACCGTTCAAAAATTCCGAAACCCCTCTGCACTTCTCCTTTTGGGTAATAAACTGTTGTGGCCTTGTTAGCGACAGAAATAAAAACACAAAGAGAGATAAAGAAATATATTAACAAAAACAGTAATACAAACACATCCATTAGACATGGCATATCCATTAGACATGGTAATACAAACATATCCATTAGACATGGCATATCCATTAGACATGGTAATACAAACATATCCATTAGACATGGCACGTAACACAAGAGTGTTACAACAAGAATGTTCGGTCCGATTGCCAGAGCTGGCTGCTGGAAACTTCCCTCTCCAAAAGGCGGTACCTGCTCCTATTTATAGTTAGGAGAGTCCATGCATGCGTGGGTAAATTACCATATCATATATCTAGCATCCTGAAGAGGGAGAGGTACTACTTGTGGTGGAATCGACCTTCCCTCTGGAGATTGGGCTAATGTTTAAAGAACACCAATCCCAAGCAAAGGTTAGAATTAGTTTAGCCTCCAGTTGTATCAACGGCTATTTTTATTGTAGAGATTTGCATATAACTGCAACAAGTAAATATATTATTAAGATAGTAGATAAAAATTCTGGTATAATCATTATTATAGTAAATTACGACAGGTCCCAAGATTCAAAATCTAGTTCTCAACACAATCTCCTTCTTTCTCAATCATGGTAGGTTGGTTATTCAAACATTATTACCTGTTGTTGTTTAATTACAACAGAATTAATAAAAATATTGGGGATAAACACTACTATTTATAAATACAACATGCTTCTTCCACCAAAAGAATAAAGTTTGGTTTGGTTTGGTTTGGTTTGGTTTGGTTTGGTTTGTTTGACGGCATATCAAACTCAATGGCGACATTATTTTTTTCTGGTAATAGCTATTTACAAAAATATATTGATGGTAATAATTTTTCCTCAAAACATTTATTGCTGCTATTAAAACCTATTTTTCACTTTCATTGTCTTTTAACCCCAGTTTGTGGGTTAACTATTTGCCCATACATGGGACCCTAACAGGTGCTACAACCCCGGGTCAAGTTAGACCTGGGAACACCAGCAATTAAGAGGTGGTTCCGCGATCCTCAAAACCTCCTGATCTGAGGCCTTGCTGTCCGATGTAGTTTAGGACGGAAAGAGAAAAGGAAGAAGTCAAACGACAAGAAAGACAGGCTCAATAAAATCGACATTGATCTCCACCAACATTATTATACAGTCAATGCCATCGGCTTTTTCATGTATGAATTGGTATACATAACTGACGTGATCATAAAGAAGTTGATCAAGAAATAAGGGATTAAATTCTTGGATACGAGATAAAGCCGACGACAACGATAAGAGGCACAGAAAGGAAACAGCAAAAAATCCTAGGAAAAGGAGTAAAGGAAAGCGAGATGAAAAGACTAAACATCAATTGTAAAAAAAAAATAAAGGAGACTGCAAAAACACCTAGAAAAAGGAGTGATAGAAAGCGAGATAAAATAACTAAAAATGAATTTTAAGAAAACAGAAAGGAAACTGCAAATAAAAAAAGCCTAGAAAAAAGAAGTAAAGGAAAGCGAGATGAAAACTAACCATCAATTGCAAGAAAACAGAAAAGAAACTGCAAAAACTCCTAGAAAAGGGAGTAAAAGAAAACGAGATGAAAAGACTAAACTACAATTGTATGAAAACAGAATGTATGGTTTCAGCAACAGGAGCATCCCATTGATAGGAGCTATGATGATACCACTATTAAGTAAATTGTTAATATATGTGAAGTGTTTTTTTTTCAGAGGACGCAAAATGTGACACTGAAATCCGAATGTGAATTGGAATAGCAAAAGATGCCTTCCAAATGCTAAGAAAAGTATTAAGAAAATGAAAAGAAAACCATTACTGTTTATGAAATATAAATTCGGAGAATACTAAATGATCGTCGATATCCTGAAATGACATGGCACCTAGATATATAAAACTAAACTTACATATTGTCCATCAGTGCTTGTTTTCGGTAATCAATTATAAAAATATTCGAATCCAGATTTGCAAGGCAAGTATGACCTAATTTCTTCAAAGTCTGGTGCTACACTATCTTCCTTCCTTCCGTGCATTTCTATTTGTATGTATACTACGTAAGCATATCACGCTAGGCGGAGAAATAAACTTGCACTAAAATTTTAATTTTTTAAATCTATTTCTTGCGATTTAATATGCAGTCCACACCCGAAAGCTAATTTTCTCCCTCATTAATATGTCATGGAAGCTAATTTATTAATCTTAATATCAAAGGCTATTACAAATTAAAAAACTTTTTTAAAAAAGTTTGTACAGCATAAAAGAGGTAATAGAAATAAAGAAGAAGAAAAAGAAGAAAAGGAAAAACAAGAAAAAGAAACAGAACAAAAAGTAATAGAAGAGAAAGAAGAAAACGACGACGACGAAGAAGAAGAAGAAGAACAACAACAACAACAATAACAACAGGAAGAAAAAGAGAATGGACGAGAAGAAGAAGAAGAAGAAGGAGAAGAAAGAGGGTAACTCGTTTCTGAAAAAGCGGGAAAAGTTTAAAAAGAAAAAAATGACCATCGACGAAAAAGAAGAAGAAAAACGATGAGTAGTATTAGAAAAAGAAAAAGGCAAAAATGGAGAAGAAAGCAGATAATGGAAGAAGAGTTGATTAGAAAGGAGAAAGACGTCCGAGGAAAATAAAAAGATAGCAAAAAAGAAAAAAATAACCGAAAAGTTGGAGATGGAGAAAAATAAAAAGAATTTGATAAGAAAAAGATGGAAAAAGAAGAGTTGATGAAAAGTAGAAAAAGATGGGGAAAAAGAAAAAAAATGGCCGAAAAGTTGGAGGAGAAAAATAAAAAGAATTTGATAAAAAGATGGAAAAAGAAGAGTTGATGAAAAGTAGAAAAAGATGGGGGAAAAGAAAAAAAATGGCCGAAAAGTTGGAGGAGAAAAATAAAAAGAATTTGATAAGAAAAAGATGGAAAAAGAAGAGTTGATGAAAAGTAGAAAAAGATGGGGAAAAAGAAAAAAATGGCCGAAAAGTTGGAGGAGAAAAAAAAAAAGAATTTGATAAAAAAGATGGAAAAAGAAGAGTTGATGAAAAGTAGAAAAGATGGGGAAAAAAAAAAATGGGCCGAAAAGTTGGAGGAGAAAAATAAAAAAAGAATTTGATAAAAGATGGAAAAAGAAGAGTTGATGAAAAGTAGAAAAAGATGGGGAAAAAGAAAAAAAATGGCCGAAATGTTGGAGGAGAAAAATAAAAAGAATTTGATAAAAAGATGGAAAAAGAAGAGTTGATGAAAAGTAGAAAAAGAAGTTTGAAAAAAAAAATACTGAATCTGTAGCGAATTGGTAAATATGATTGTAACCTATTTGCATCTGTTAAGTAAAAACGATATGAAGTGCAAGTAAACTAAGTGACAGGAAGTTGATTACTGATCACGTGTCGTAGAACAGCAAATTACAACAGGATAGTTCGATGAGCAAAACGAGATGAAGGAAGTGGGGTTTACGAAGAAAAAGTAAGAGTGTGATTGCTTTTAGAAGAAGAAAACAGGAGATTTGGAGGAGAAAAACATTGAGGAAGAGGTGTTTATAATGAAGAAGTGAGAGGGTTATTGCTTTTAGAAGAAAATAGGAGAGTTGGAGGAGAACGAAAATATGGAGGGAGAGGCGTATATGAAGAAGTGAGAGGGTGATTGCTTTTAGAAGAAGAAGGAGAGTTGGAGGAGTAGAAAAAGATAGAGGAAGGTTTTATAAAGAAGTGAGAGGGTGATTGCTTTTAGAAGAAGAAGGAGAGTTGGAGGAGTAGAAAAAGATAGAGGAAGAAGGTTTTATAAAGAAGTGAGAGGGTGATGGCTTTTAGGAAAAAAGAAAGCAGATTTAAAGAAGAAAATAGAGTAAGAGAGGTTTGTGATGAAGAAAAGAGAGTGTGATTGTTTTTAGAAGAAAAAACGTGCGGTAGGAGAATAAAAAGATGGAAGAGGGGTTATCAGGAATAAAAAGCTAGGTGATTGCTTTTAGCAAAAGAAAACAGGAAATTTGGAGAAGAAAAAATAGAGGAGGTGTCTTATATGATGAAGAGATTAGTGAGTGACTGCTTTTAGAAGAAAATAGGAGAGATGGAGGTGAAGAAAAGATGAAGTTTCAGGGGCTTATGAAAAAGAAGTGGGTGGGTGATTGATTTTAGAAGACAACACGAGAGTTGTAGGAAAAGATGGAGGTTGAGGGTTAATAAAGAATTTAGGAGAGGGTGATTGTTCTTAGTAAACGAAAAGAAGAGAGTTGGAGAAGAAAAAGATGGAAGAAGAGTGGATTATGATGTATAATAGACGGACATTTCTTTAGCAGAAGAAAATAGGAGAGTTGGATTGAAGGAAAAATATGGCGGAAGTTGGGTTGGTGAGGAAGAAGTGAGTGGGTGATTGTTTTTAGAATAAAAAAGAAGAGTTGATGAAGAAGAAAAAGATGGTGGAATAAAGATTTAGAAAGTATAAACGCCTTTAGAAGAATAAAACAGGAAAGTTGGTGAAGAAGAAAAAGATGGAGGAATAAAGATTTAGGAAGTATAAATGCCTTTAGAAGAATAAAACAGGAGAGTTGGTAAAGAAAAAAATGATGGAGGAATAAAGATTAAGGAAGCATGAATACCTTTGGAAGAATAAAACTGGAGAATTGGCGGAGAAGTAAAGATGGAGGAGTAAAAATTTTGGAAGAATTAATACTTTTAGAAGAATACAACAGGAGAGTTGATGAAGAAGAAAAAGATGGAGGAATAAAGATTTAGGAAATATAAATACATTTAGAAGAATAAAACAAGAATGTTGGTGAAGAAGAAAAAGATGGCGGAATAAAGATTTAGAAAGTATAAACGCCTTTAGAAGAATAAAACAGGAAAGTTGGTGAAGTAGAAAAAATGGAGGAATAAAGAGATTTAGGAAGTATAAATGCCTTTAGAAAAGTTGTTGAAGAAGAAAATGATGGAGGAATAAAGATTTAGGAAGTATAAATGCCTTTAGAAGAATAAAACAGGAAAGTTAGTGAAGAAGAAAAAGATGGAGGAATAAAGATTTCGGAAATATAAATGCCTTTAGATGAATAAAACAGGAGAGATGGTGAAGAAGAAAATGTTGGAGGAATAAAGATTTAGGAAGTATAAATACTTTAAGAAGAATAAAACAGGAAACTTGGTGAAGAAGAAAATGATGGAGGAAAAAAGTTTTAGGAAGTATAAATGCCCTTAGACGAATAAAACAGGAAAGTTGGTGAAGACGGAAAAGATGGAGGAATAAAGATTTAGGAAGTATAAATGCCTTAAGAAGAATAAAACAGCAGATTTGCGAAGAAGAAAATGATGGAGGAATAAAAATTTAGGAAGCAGGAATACATTTGGAAGAATAAAACAGGATAATTGGCGGAGAAGTAAAGATGGAGGAGTAAAAATTTTGGAAGAATTAATACTTTTAGAAGAATACAACAGGAGAGTTGGTGAAGAAGAAAAAGATGAATAAAAATTTAGGAAGTATAAATACATTTAGAAGAATAAAAAAGGAAACTTGGTGAAGAAGAAAATGATGGAGGAATGAAGATTTAGGAACTATAAAAGGCTTTAGAAGAATAAAACAGGAAAGATGGTGAAGAAGAAAATGATTGGGGAATAAAGATTTCCGAAGAATAAAACGGGGATTTGGAAATGAATACAAAGATGGAGTTTGAGTTTTGAAAAAGAAGTGGATGGGTGATTGATTTTAAAAGAAGAAAACACGATATTTGTAGAAATAGATGGAGGTTGAGGTGTTTATGAAGAATTTAGGAGAGGATGATTCCTCTCAGAAGAAAAACCGGAGAGTTTGGCGCGAAGAATAATATGGAGGAAAGTGGATTATGAAAAAGAAGTGAGAGGTGATTATTTTTAGAAGAATAAAACAGGAGATTTGGTGAGAATAAAAAGATGGCGGAAGTTTGGTTTATATAGGAAAAGTGAGACGGTGATTTGTTTTTATGTAAAAGAAAGAGTAAGTTTTTGAAAAAAGAAGGTGGCGGAAAAGAAGTTCGAGGTGGGTAAAGATGAAGCACACGAGGAAATAATCAGATTAATTTTACTGAAGATGACATTTGTTTGTCTCGAAACGGTTTCCCAATTTTGACACGCGTGTACTTTTTTTTTAAAATATACGTGTACAACTGTGTTTCTGTTTACATTCATTTAGCGCCCCCGCCACCCGTCATTGCATCGGAGTGCTATGTGATATTATGTAGATGACATTTATTAATATAAAATGCCATCAAATTTTAATAAGTGGGTAAGTGGAAAAATCAGGCGTAGCTGACCACATATGGGGAGAAAAGGGAGATCACTGCCCTCTGTGGGATCAGGTTGACCATAGAACACCATTGGAAAATTCGGAAACTTAAAGAATCAGCACATATGCTAGGCCAATAAAATCTCCTGAGCCGACCAAGCATAGAAATGAATACAATATAGGAACCAGTAATAACGAGGGCCAGAGAAATTGCAAAAAAACATAAAATGATAACAGCAAAAATTGCAACATGAGCACTGGTAAAAAACGGTTTCTGAACACACCAAGTTTATAATACACAGAAATTCATACACCGATGTCCTCAAGGACACATGGTAAAGTGGATAAAGGCGTTAGTTAGATCCAGTGACAAGACCCAAAGAGTGTGAGTTCAATACCAGGTTAAGACAGTGGATAACTAACAGGGGGATATCTGACAGGAATATCCATTAAACATGGCATCCAACTAAAAAATCTACCTGGAACTAGCGAAATAAACCTTCAGTTCGACAGTCCAACCACCTGAAGAAGGCCGAAACGTTGTAATAAATATGTCAACAAAGATAAGGACAATAGTCCGAATAATGTAAATAATGTACATAATACCTCATCTCAGAAATATAGACAAATGCTGAAGGGCCGAAACGTTTGTTATAAATATGGTGACAAAGATGCGGATAATAATTTGATTAATGTAAATAGTGTACATAATACCTCATCTCAGAATTATAGACAAATACTGAAGTTTAACTCTATTTTCCCATTAATCACTATGAGAAGATATTGTCCTTCGTTTCAAGAAATAAAATTTACAGCAACATTTCATTGAATTGGATTATTAACAAATATTTTTAATATGATTTCCCTAATCTGTGATGCAAAGTTTGATGCGCCTAATAAAAGCTACTAAGATGCAAGGGGTTACTGAGTCTGAAAGAATATAATAAAAAGAAAAATATTATTAAAGTGAGAGAACAATAAAAGAACAGGAATTAAGGACACAGAAAATAACAATCGACATTGCGTTAAAATTTCTGAAGATCGAAGTTGACTGGGAAGCAAGAAGCCGGAAGAGAGCTCCTGAAGAACTTAGTATATATATATATATATATATATATATATATATATATATATATTGATTTTCTAACCTTAGCTTAGATGTGGAGACAAGGCCGAAAGCAAGAGGCACCCAGTGAGGCCCGAATTCACTACTCAGTCGTAATTGTTTTTGCGAGACAAGTTTGCTAACCATTACATCGCCTCAAGATGCCCCAAATGAGAAGTGGTGGTTATCTAAGCGTAACTTAGATGTGGCACAAGGACGAAAGTATGGGGCACTTAGTGAGGACCGAACTCACTGTTCAGTCATAATTGATCTAGCGAAAGAAGCTTGTTAACCAATACACAAAGTCGAAATGCCCAAATGGTAATTCTTTAAGCGTAGCTTTGATGTTGCGCTAGAATGTGGTAAATTTTGTTCAAGAGTGTAGGATTGTCATATATCGTATAATCTATGGGATGCCAAGATGCGTATATAGAAAAAGCAAGAGTTGAGAATAAGAGATGTTATAAATGACCTATATATTATTTTGAATCAATAACTTCTTTCTACGCCTGCGCACAGAGAGACACGCTCACGGCCGCCATATTTGAAAATCCCTCGATTTTAAAGAAAGGAAAGGAGATGACGAAGGAAATTGCATATTCTAGGACGATTCCCAAAGTTAAGCAGGTCGAGCCTAGTCAGTAGCTAGATGGGTGACCACTTAGTAATACCAGGTGCTGCAATTACTTATTGCTATATCACCTTGGAACACTACTTCTAATACGATCACCGGTAAGCAACGTCGATCCTGGTCAATATCTAGATGGGTGACCACTTGGTAATACCAGCTTGTAAGTTTTGGCGGAATGGCTTCCGACTATATCATGTTAAAACACTAGTTCTTGTACGATCATAAAAGTTAAGCATTGTTGAACCTAGTCAGTACTTAGATGGGTGACCGTTTGGTAATACCAGGTACCGTTAGCTTGTAAGTGCTGGTGTAATGGCTTACGACTATATCACGTTGAAATTATTCGTGGTTATATTTTCTCATTCGTGTAGAAGTTTATCTCACATTCGTTTGTTCCTCTCGTTGTATCCTTTCTGCATTGAGGTTATATTCCTTTGGGCTGCTCCAAATATTCTCCCAAAAATTTAGTGATTTAATGTTATATTATTATTATTATTATTATTATTATTATTCGTGATTATATTTTCTCATTCTTGTAGAAGTTTATCTCACATTCGTTTGTTCTTCTCGTTGTATCCTTTCTGCATTGAGGTTATATTCCTTTCTGCTCCAAATATTCTCCCAAAAATTTAGTGATTTAATGTTATATTATTATTATTATTATTATTATTCGTGGTTATATTTTCTCATTCTTGTAGAAGTTTATCTAACATTTGTTCTTCTTCTCGTTGTATCCATTCTGCATTGAATATTCTTCTGGGCGGCTCCAAATATTTTCCTAAAAATAGTGCACTTTTTCAATAGATGGCTTTTTTGACAGGTATAACTGCTTTTCTACTTTCCCTGTAAAATTTCTTAAGGTCAGTTTGGAATATTTTATTTTGGCAATAGAACCTACAACTTTTTTCTTATCGTCTTGTTCTCTGCACCTTTCATTTAGTGATTTAATGTTATTATTATTATTATTATTATTTTTTATTTTCTTTGATTTCTGGCGTTTACACATTTCTTTCCGGGTCCCGCCCAGGGACCTAAGGTTAGAAATGGCGTCATGACACTTTCGACTGACAAAAAAAAAAAAAAAAAAAAGATTACATAGATAAAGCCCTTCGTAAGGTGTGGGCTGTACTTGTTAGAACAATTTTCTGTATCTCCTTGAGGCATGGACTTCCAGGTATCCCTTCAATTAGTCTACTGGAATCTTTTCCAACCAGTCCTAGGGCTCCAACTACAACAGGGATTGTTGATGTTCCCATATGCCACATTTTCGCGATTTCTATTATTATTATTATTATTATTATTATTATTATTATTATTATTATTATTCGTGGTTATATTTTCTCATTCGTGTAGAAGTTTATCTCACATTCGTTTGTTCCTCTCGTTGTCTTCATTCTGCATTGAGGTTATATTCATTTTTTGCTTATTACCTTGTTCTCTGCACCTTTCATTTAGTGATTTAATGTTACATTATTAATAGTAGTAGTAGTATTTCATAAATCGCCGTGGATATTTTGCTTTAATTTCTTTGACTTTTAATTTTTAAGGTCATACATAAATATGTTGACTAGAGAAAAAGGCATTTCTTTTAAGAAAGGGTATATTCGAAAATATCCAGGGAATAATTTTATGCTTGGCCTAGTGTCTATTAATGCATCTTTTAGATCTTTTCGTCTTTAGATCTTTTAGATCTTTTCGTCTTTTCTTAAGTCATTTTCTCTTTTAACGAGAACAGGATTTTTTTTTTTTTTTTAAATTGTGGCTTAAATTCTTTCTGTGTATACTAGATATCAAAACTCTTGCCATAAAAGAAAAACTACATCACATATCAACTCGATATTTAATCTCCTTCGAAGTAGTCCCCTTTGAAAGTCATACAATTTATCCATTGATGGAATCATTGCTGGAAATCCTTTTTGGGGGATAGTGACCAGCTGCCTCATCGTATTCTCTTGGATTTCCTCGGCGTCATGAAATTTTGTTCCTTTCAATTGGAATTTGATTTCTGGAGAAGAAAATCTCGCAACGAGCGAGATTTGGAGAATATAGTGGTTGTTGTACATGGGGAATGTTGTATTTGGTGAAAAACAGCTGCACAATCCATGATTACTGGTGGTATCTCTTTGGTGTGGTGAGGCGACTATAATCTACAAACTTTCCTTTCAAACACTGCTATGAACAAAGGAAGTGAATCAGTGACAGTGTTCAAGGTTCAATCTGTGCCAAGCGGATTCCTATGCGTGCTTTAATGCCATTAACATAGCAAAAGTTCCGGTAAATAGCCAGAAGAGTGAATTTGTATCCACAATTATTCCCACTCAAATTGTAAAATGGATTAGATGTTCAGTCCATTTGCAAATACTTTCGATAAACCCTTTCTTCATTTTCAGGCATTGATATTATTTTTCAATTTCAGATAATTTCATGTAACTTCCGAGACGAAAATAAATGAACAAATAATCTATTTTACAATTTTTAAAAACAAAGATCGCGTCATTCAACAACTTGTTAGTAAGTTAATGCTTTATTTAATCTGTTAGTGAAGTGAATTCGCCATTAATTACATTAACTATACTGATTTATTTTTTGCATGGCTACTTCTTTATAATATTAATTATACTGCAATATATATATTGCAACTATTTCTTTTTCATAATAATACATAATCCAGATGGAGATGACTGCATATTATTATTTCTACGTTTTCGTCTATTTCTTTTATTTTTTATTATTATTTTATATATTACTTTTGCCAAAAACGAACTGACTTCGCACCATTTCTGTCTGAGATTTCGCCACGGAAAGCAATAAATAATAACGACTTAGCGTCGATTTGGGATTTGGATCTGGAAAACCCGAAACGCGATCCCGTCGTCTCGTAATCATCGTGACCCGTACAAACTTTGGACGAAATTAAATACGAAACATCTGTCCTGACACAATCTAAACTATGTGTTTCGGGCATTCCAAAACTGCACTCACTCACACTTCAGTCCCAAATTCTCTACATGGATTCCCACCCGTATTCGAACACAACTTACTCTTCTAACGTCGAGAAGTCTGTAAATGATTGCTCTCTGTGTAGACGGGATAGCATTTTTATTTTTTGCCTTGTACTGTTTTAATGAGAATTTGTATTTTTAATGGTAGTTCGTGAGCGTCTACTAACACAACTCGGATGGGCTAAAAACTTCTGCCAAGAAAACAGAAAATACATCGTTCATAATGTAAGTCTTTTGTTAGCGAATTTCATCAGGTGAAGACAATGCACATCTTTTTAATTACAAAGTACCACTCATTTATATCGGAAAATTCAATTCAGTTTTTAAATAATTACAAAATTGGTCAAATTTTTTAATCGTATTTCAAAAATTCGTATATAAAATTTTATAATCGTATAAAATATACAATATTATATATATATATATATATATATATATATATATATATATGTGTGTGTGTGTGTGTGTGTGTGTGTGTGTGTGTGTGTGTGTGTGTGTGTGTGTGTGTGAAAATATATATAAAAATAGGAAAGAACTGGTAAGGCTAATAATCCAAAGTTCCTTAGTATTTTAGTTATTATTTTTAAAAAATAGTGCTCGATACAAAAGTAGAGCATAAATATAATTATTTATTTAAAATATAATTATTTATTTAAAAATATGATTCTTATGCCGCGAGTTGGAATCATATTTTTAAATAAATATTTATATATATATATATATATATATATATATATATATATATATATATATAAGACATATCGCTCTATTAATTGAACTGTGTACTTAGTTCATTTCACGTTAACTGGAAAACACTTACAACAAAAGAATTCGTGGATTTACCAAAATACAAAATTCATATAAAAAATTCTCACTTGAAATATTTGAACTTTAGCATTGCGACTTGCACCTTCCAATATTATATAATCGTTAATAACTAACACATTCTTAAAAAAACATCTTTCGGTCTACAACACAATTATTTCGTCTTCGAGTTTTCATTTTAAAGGAAAAAATTACAGCCTGATGATGAGGACACGAAGTTCTTGAAAGTACTTGCTGCTCTAAAAATACGTTAGATCAATCTGACAACAATTTTATACATAAGGATCGCATCATTCAGTGGATTGTTAGTAGTCTAATGCATATATTAAGTCTGTTAGCGAAGAGATTTCGCCATTAATTGCATTAATATTGCTAATTAATTCAATGTATGATTATCTCTTTATAATATATATATATATATATATATATTGAAGTCAACATCCAGCAGCGACGGTCTCTTTTATCCTTAAACGCTGACTATGTATGCTGTGTTTTGGCATGATTATTTATATATGCTAGTCAGTGCTACATTATGGGTAGGCCTATTGTATTGTCTTAACGGTTATTTGGGTGGGCAGTAACGGTTATGTCTCGAATTATTCTAGAGAATATTGAGTGGAAATAATTGTGGATCCGAATGCAGTTTTGTGGCTATTTTATATTGTTATTTATTAGCTTTTTATTTATTACTTATTGTTATTTTATTTCTTGTTGGTTGTTATTATTATGTTTGCTTGTGTTTATTCGTAGTGTGTTAATTATTGTTTTGGATTTACTTATTTTTTTTTTTATTTCTGTTCCATTTTTATTTTTCGATTTTTTTTAAGTAGCGGAGTAAAAAGTTGTTTTCGTGTCTGCATTTTGAAATGAGTTCTTATCGTTTATTTAGTAATTTATATTGTCCTGGGAAGCTAATTACAGCTGTTTTCTTCTCCAGTCAGAGTTTACAGCTTTACGGATTTATTGTTGTAGGCTGATGCAGTTTTCTTTCTTTTTCCTTAATGCTTTTGTTTTTGTTTTTAACTTCCCATATATGTTTTAAAAGCATAGTTTCTTTGTTTTCTAGCGTCTATTGTTCCAAGCGCTTCCGACCATTTCTTTATCCATCTTCAAGAGGTATTTTGTTGAATGTTACCAACTTTTCTTCATGGCGGTCTGCTTGAGATGTAGTACGTGATGCCTAATAGTAGTAGCGTTTAGTCTGAGACAAAGAGTTAATGTCTTTCCATTTAAAAAAAAAAAAAAAAAACTTTGACAAATTATTTCCGCTGCTGGAGGAGACAAAGAAACAGAGTGGTTGCGTAACTATCGACAAAAGGTTTAAAAATGCAATGCTATCTTGCAAAACATAGCCAAGTGCCGATTGCGAGTGTAACCATCTACTATTAAAGACTATCCATAATCAAACTAGTCATCGTCTTACTAGTGGATTTTTCGCACTTATCACATAATTATAAATATTGTCTTTTATAGATTATTTTTGGTAAAAGACAATAAGAAAACTGTATTATTAGCCAACGCGTTTCGTCCAATATGGACCTTTTCAAGACAAAAATGAAATAAATCTATTGTAAACAAAGTAAATATCAACAACAAACAAAATGTCCTTTGGAACTAGAAGAATTTAAAAACGCTATTTTATTTATATTGTCAACTGAAAATTAAGCCAATTACTTTCACGTGTGAAAATATTGTATTTTTATTGTTGTGTTGACGGATTCAAACATTTTCTTTTGTACTGTGTTACATGAGAGTAAAATTACCCAAACCAAACAAGACCAAAGTAACGCTTTATGACAGTTTCCTGAAGGACTTGTATCAGTAAATCACTATTATCTCCAAAATATTTTTAAAATCTCAAAATATTTTCTGGCTTTAAATAACCTAAAAAGGTTGATAAGCCGTAGAAAACAAACGAATCAATCCTTTCTGAGTCAAGACAAAATTACTGATCTGTTTATTTAAAATTTCATTTGAAATTATTTTAGGAATAGATAACTAGTCCTGTATGTTGTGTAGGTCAATCCATACTGCATGATTGGTGTGTTTCATGTAGTGTCATGATTCTAAAAATCTCTACAATACGGACAATTTAGCAATTTTTTCCTACTTGGCATCAATGTTGCAAAGAAATTACGATATACATAACATTTGTTGAACACATATTTTGGTAAAAGAATGGAAACATTTTTTCTGAAGGCACCGAATTAAAAAATGACGTCCATTTTTTTTTTCATAATTGCTGATTTTGGCAAAAATTTTCATTTTAGTTCATTTTTTTATTCACTATTTTCAGATTAGAAAATGAAAAATCTAAAATCATAATCAACTCAAATCAATCTTTATTAGTAAAAAGAAATCTGATATCTGAACGATGAATGATGGCACTATTAAACAATGGAATCTATTCATTGCATTTTGTTATAATTTGACCATTTTTATAAATAAGTAACAATCTTAGTGAACATCAGTATTCAAACTATTAAAGACTATCCATAATCAAACTATTCATCGTCTTACTAGTGGATTTTTCGCATATATCACATAATTATAAATATTGTCTTATATAGAATATGTTTGGTAAAAGACAATAGGAAAACTGTATTATTAGCCAACGCGTTTCGTCCAATATTGACTTTTTCAAGGCAAAAATGAAATAAATTTACTGAAAACAAAATAACTATTAACAACAAACAAAATGTCCTGAGGAACTAGAAGAATTTTTTTTTAAAATGTATTTTATTTATATTGTCAACTGAAAATTACGTCAATTACTTTCACGTGTGGAAACATTGTTTTTTATTGTTGTGTTGACGCATTCAACTATTTTCTTTTGCAGTATTCCATGCAAAGGCAAATGGTTAATTCATGGATTTGAAGGATGGACTCGGACGAGAAAAACTTTCTGGCGAAACACAGAGAACCGACTTTCCTTGCAGTGGATGAAGCTATTGATTCAATGTATTTGTTCCATCTCTGGTCAGCAGACAGTGTGAGACCAAGTAGTCGCAGAGAGGTGCTCTCGTGGAGTTGAGCATCAGACATTCTAATACCAACTCAATAACGAAAAGTTTTTTCTTCAATTATTCTGTTGTCCTTGCAGTTTTTCTTATATGAAGGAAATAAAAGAATGTACAAAATGTCCGACATAATATAGTTTATAAATTAAATTATAAATTAAGTTATAAATTAAGTACAAATATAATAATAAATAATAATAGAATAATTGTTATGGAACCTTACCCATAATAACATAATGGACTATGCCATACGTAATAAATACTGCGCCTCAAGAGGAAGCAGGGAGTTCAGTCTGAAGTCGGACGACCGGCTGACCGGCTGATCGGTCGAACTCTCTTCCTTCGGGCGGGGAAGAACCAGAACGAGGCTACGCCGAAGGGAGGGGGTCTCTTTCGGGGAGTTAAACCGATCCTGAACCCGTTTATACGGGTTCAATAGGGCATATTTTTGGCCGAGCCCACGGGCTCGAAGAACCCACGTTAAACCGGCCTTGTGCCACATGATGCCCTCGTGGGGGGGGTGACTAAATACTGTTCAGTCTGAAGTTTGGAGTGAAGTCCGTCAGAAATCTGTCAGTCAGAGTAAGTGAGTCAGTCAGAGGCAGTCGCGTTCAGACAATTACTACTAAACCTGATTGTTTGTACTAACACTTTCTACTTCTCTGTATATATAACAATAAATATAATATATAATAAATATAAGTATAAATTAATTGATCTTAGTTCGATAAAAATAAACTTAAACAGTCATGCCCAATCAGTCAGTTATGTGCCATTCGTGATACACGCCTAGCCGATGATGTATTTCGATACATGACTGACGAGGTAGATTTTTTTCCCGGGGTAGGTTGCCATTTCTTTCTGCGGTAGACCAGTTGTCATCCAAGGCTATAGAATCCGGTCTGTTCTGTATTTATCCATCGCCTCTCTCTGTCTTTTTTACAAATACTTTCATGGTAATTGCTCCGATGAGCTGCTTTCACTGGTTTCATGAATTCAAGCGCCCTACGATGCTGGCATCCCACTCTCACCCTTTCAC